TAGTAGGCATAATTCTCAAGCCATAAATCTAAATCAAATAATATTCCCTCAAGGATTCAAATCATACTTATCATCATAACATTCTTATGGAACCTTTCTAGGATATGAAATTCAGATAAGGCTATTATAACCCAAAAGTAGTGCTTACAACCAGAATGCTTCTTGGGCATTCTGTTGGCAAAGTATCCATACCACATTCATGGGGTATCGATACTTTCCTTGCAATTTCTAGATTTTAAGCCCACATTTTCTAGATTTGGCTTATTTACTTTGCCTATTTATTCCTTAGCTCATTTCCATGATTTTTAACATATAAGAAACTATTAAATAGGTTCAAATATAAAGTCATATCACAAAATCATCGTAGGCTTAATTCTTAAGCCATAAATCTAAATCAAATCATATTCCCTCAAGAATTTAATCATACTTATCATCATAACATTCTTATGGAGCCTTTCTAGGAGATGAATTCAAACAAGACAAAAATACCATGGACATATTCTAAAAATCTAAAAATGACCTCATCAGAAAGACCCAACTTTACTTAAAAACACCAAAATGCTGTCGACAATCTACAAAATATCCATAAAAAATCCTTGTCAGATCGACATGATTAAAAGATAGAAATGGCCTCAATTTATTATTAAAAGACAAAAGCATCACCAGCATAAAACATAAACTAACATAAATTGAGGAAAATGACCTTAGCATTTCCTAAATACCAAATATATATCTCACATATAAAATTCCTATCATCTTAATAGATAAATATACCCCCCCCCCCCCCCCATATTTAATGGAAACCTGAAAATGCCCTAATTAGTTTTAATAGCACAAAAGCAAATTTCATGAAACAGCTTCATAACATTAAAAAAATACCATATATGTCCCAAAAATCAAGCCAAGTGTCAAACTATAAGGATAGATAGATGTCAAACAACTTAGGAACAACTTAAATATATAGTTATAGATTTTGTCCCTAATAAAAAATTAAACTATTCAATTATTCTATTAGGAAAAGCTGTAATAAGTAAAATTGCCGCCTTTTCAAAGGATTGAAGGTTGAGGGTTTCATCACTACAACATACAACTTGCCCAATTTCATTGCAATGTTGCGGAAGGTGGTTAAGTTCCACACATGAGCCGTTATGCCAGAGCATGAGCGCTAACTTTTAGTGCCAGACCTCTTTTCTTTTCCATTGCCTCCTTTCCTTTTTTTTCTAACTGAATTTCTTGCTTGTAAGTCAAGAGAGAGCCATAGCTTTTGTCAAGACATATAACATTTTGGTTCTTTGCTTCCTCATGGCGGTTAACTTTGGCTTTTACTTTAATTTTTCTTTGCTTCATTTTAATCTTTAAGAATTTGTTTCCTTTCCAATATTTGTTGTTTTAATTCAGTATAGTTTAGTTAATAGAATATCTTGCACTAGGATAACATGGATGCAATCAGGAGCATAGTTAGCTAACTTATATTGGGAGAGTCAAAGACAGAGGAATAAGGGTTAAAAATGTTAAAAAATAATATGTTGAACTTAACCAATAATCAAAAGATTAGAAAAAAAATTTATATAACATGTAAATTTAGAAAAGTAAGACTTACAATAGTCCTTTAGCAAAGTTGTGCTCAACCATATTTCCTATATTCAAATTCATCAATTATTGATTATGTAATGAAAAACATTCATTTCTTTAGAATTGAATCTTGGATATTTTTATTTACATTGCTCTTGTTTATGAGTTGAAGCATTGAGGCTGGTGGCTTAAATGTAGGAGAATCATTTGAATGATAAGCATTTTTTCTTTTAAAAAATTTGTCAATTATTTTTTACTTAATTATACTTTAATTAAACTTGAAAAAAATTAATACAGTTAATATTTAATATTCTTATTTTATTTCTATTTAAACTTATAATACTAAATATAAAACTATAATGTATAAAATATAAATAGTTAGATACGATATCCACAATTAATAATTTTCTCTTATATAATCAACATTGTTAAAAGGTTATATATTCAAGATAATTCTCTTTCAACTAAATATAAAATGTAAAGCTCATAAAAAGATATACTCATGATAATTTCTATTTACATAATCAAGATTACTAAAAAAAATACATTAATTAAATTTTATGTAATAGTTCAATACTACAACTTATATTCAAGAATCACATAATAATTTATTAATTTTTAAAGATTAAAATTATAAAAAATAAAATTCACATAATAAAAAAGAAAAACATGATAAGCAGAAGATAGAATCCATATATGACTTAACAAAAAAGAAAGAAAAAGAATATGATTGATGGGTCATAGAGATTTAGAGAAGAAAATCCATAGAAACTTAGAACATATGAACAAATAGAATAGCACTGAAAAAGATAAGCAAATAAAAATAAAAATTAAAAAAAGATAAAAACCTTTAAAAGTTAAGTAAAACATGTAAGATTATTTTGTTATTCTTTATTTATATTAATTATCAAATAAAAATTATTCTGAGAAGGCTAGTAATGGAATGTTAAAAAATTTTAAAAATTTGACATGATGCACCACGGTCCCCATAACTAAAGGAGGATCCTGAAAATTAGATTAGAAAAGTTGCTCCCAGAATTTTGCCTAACATAGTTTAGTTGTTTTTTAGGGAAAAATAAAATAATAATGTCAACACCAAAACTTGAATGTAAAGAAATGCATTTAGTTAGGTTAATTTTCGAATCAGCACCTAACTAACTGTTTGACATTCCTCTTAACTTGTGATAAATGCCCCAAATCCTGTTTTGCCCTAAAATTGTTAATTGCAATCAAAGGTTGCTTTTATGTCTTGGTTAGATAACGGCTTTACCAAGAAAGAGTGCTTGAAAGCTTGAAAGTGGGTGGCTAACAACCTTTTGGTCGCCTTTTAACTTTATCATTTCAACATAGAGTCAGTTGACCTGTAAAGATGACGTAAAGGAAAAAGCAGCACTGCAGTTTGAGGAGTTGCTGGACTCGCTGAGTTCCCACCACATGATTCACTTCCTCAAAAGTATTTTCCATTAAAGAATGTGTCTGGGTTAATTGACTGGAGACACAAAAGCCTACTTCTATACCCCATTAACTTGCATAAACCTATACTGAGCAACTTTTAATTGTTTATGTTTCATAAACGTGTTTTGATGAAACATTTAAGCCTATTTAAAGACCTATATAAGAGGACCCTGCTAATTAAACTTAGCTTATACCAATACATTAGTCTTTGCCTTCCGGAAGTCTCAGCCAAATGGATCGAATTAAGTGAACCATCGCAAGTGTAGGTCCAAATGTCCAACAAGTTGCTTCTCCGAATAATACCTCGTATATTGTTCAGCAATTAATTAAGTATTCAAATTAAATTTTTATCACAAGCAATTTTGCTAGCACCTAGGTGATAGGGCAAGGTTAATTTTTGGATCCAGTTAGATTTTAAAATTATTGGTGGATATCAGCCCTTAAATGAAGATTTAGTATTGAAACGTACTAGTAGAGGATGGAAACCTAAGGTGAGCTCAGACCAAACATGTGGGGGCAACTATCAATTGTTAAGTCATTAATAACTAAAATACTAATGTGAGATTAGAGATTTTATTAGTTAATCGGATAATTAATAGCAAAAGGCAAGAAGAGATTTATTGTGAAGGAAGTTAGTAGGGAATGGCAATCAAATATGTGTGCATGAGAGGGAGGTTTAATCAGAAAGTTTGGTACCGGAGAGCATGCAAATCCCTTGGCATGCCGGTGATGTGGCAACAGAAAGCACTAAAGATAGACACAGACCTCCAAACTTTGATTTTGTTGTTTCCTTTTGCTCACCATTTAAATCCTCAGTTATGTTGCAAGGAATCAACACCGAGTTCCAACATGGAGAGAACACACACCAAATCTGCATTAAAGGTATATCTTTATATGCTTTCTGAATTAATTAATTAATGTTGCTCCTCTTAATTTCTACTCTTTTATTTAGTTTATTTAATTTTATACTAAATGCGATGCTTGTTTTGCAATTTCTTTGTTTCCTAATAAGTTGGTGAAGAACGGTGCCTCACAGTCTGCAGTTTCTTGGAGTTCTAGCGCTAAAGGAATGGTATGCCGGATGAACCCCCGTTTCTTGTTTTATAGTCCATAAGTCCAGCCGAGGAGCTTAGTTTATAGAGTCAATGGGATTTGGGAATTACATTCTCTTATTGATTTTCTGGGCCAGCGGTTCATTAAAAGCCACATCAAAGTTTTTAAGAAGGTTGCCCTTTCTATATGTACTGTACAAATACATTTACATTAAGGACAGGAATATTGTTGACCACCCAGAAAAAGAAACCAGCATTGAATGTCTTAAAGAATCAAGCAGAGCAACTGGAGGGAAAAGAAGTAGTGTACTACTACTACTACTACTACTACTACTACTACTACTGCTTACTGAAATGAACACAAATTAAGGAACTCCCAATGCTTGAGATCAGAAATATAGAGATAGGAAATCAAGTCTGATCGTTTACACCAACCATAATAATAAAGACTAATAGTAACATCTCTCCAACAAATCAAGACTAGATATAAAGATTGGAAAAGCATGCATCACGGCCTGATGGCTATAATACCTTGGAAATTAAGGCTTGTCTCACTCGAATCAAATTAAGTAACTATTTTTTTCTTTGCGCAGACAAAAGATCTGCTCAAAGACAAATCCAAGGTAAAACAATGCATTTAATATATATATATATATATATATATGTACACACACATATACACTCGATTGTGTACATGTTCTCTCTCTTTTTATATCTCTCAAGCAAAGCTAAATTGTGTGTGTATGTAGGTTACTCCGAAGCCTCCAGCCAAGGAAAATACTAAGCCACTAGATTTCAAGCTTCACACTGAACAAAGAGCGGTTAAGCGAGCTATGTTCAATTATTCGGTAAAGTTTCCTTAATCAACTAGTATCATCAGTTTCATTACATTTTCAATGTATGTAATTCTCAGAATTAATTTTTTTGTACTTAGTTTTATACTTATGTATACAATTATATGTGCAGGTGGCGACCAAGCTGTATCTCTTGGAGTTACAGAAGAAACAAGTAGAGAAATTGCAAAAGGTAAGTAGATATGCATATCTATGTCCAAAATTATGGTTATTAATTAAGGGTGCCCAGACTTGGATGGTAACATTGAGTGGAGCAGATGATAGAAGAGGAAGAGGTCCGCCTGCTAAGAAAAGAGATGGTTCCAAAAGCCCAACTCATGCCTTTCTTCGATAGACCGTTTTTCCCGCAAAGGTAATTAGTGAAGCAAATACATGATAAACGAAATGATCCAATTAAGTGTTATCCAAATAAAGCACAAGTAGGCTTAATTCTAGAGTTTGATTGTACCATTATTTTGCAGATCCAACCGGCCTTTAACCATCCCTAGAGAGCCCAGTTTCCGCAGTGCAAACAGCAAATGTTGGAGTTGCATCTCTGAGAACGAGGTGTATTACTTCCAACATGCTCATGCTTGGAGCCCCATCAAATGAATAACACATGTCAACTTATTTGACAACAAAAGGCATTTCCTAAGCTGCAATGTTGTTAAGGAAAATGGCGTGCATGCATCTGCAGCATGATGTACAATATGGTTAGAGGATGTTCCAGTGCAGTCTTTTTCCTTCTAGACATCAAACGTGACAAGCTACAGTGACATAATTTCCCATAGCCAGAAGCCATTCCACTGGCTTTCATGTACACATATTGGCTCTTACATTCTCCAATAAAGGTCGATTGTATTTTTGTTTTCATTTGTGCCCTCAGAAATTTAATTTTCCCTTTGCACTATCCGTGTTTGCGCCACGGACCCCATTTCCCCCCTCGTGGGCGGCTAACCAGCCAATGAAATAAGCACAAACAAGCAACAATTAAATAGGGAAAAACAAAAATTTGCGGATAGCGAAAGGCGACGTGACTTATGTTACATATCAGTTAAATGACTGTTTCCTTCTCGCGGGACAATTATTTTTGGCTAAATGTCCTATTTAGGACTTAAGGATTAAAAAATAAAGAAATATTTATGGATAGGGACATTTTATTCTCATCAATTTAAGATGTTAGTTTTTCAATTTTGATTATTCAGAGAAACTTGATATTCGAAATTAACTAAAACTTATTGTTAATAGCTGTAATTATTGTGTAAGCATCTAATTTAGTTGTTTCTTGGACTTCTATTGAAATGGAATATCGTACAATGACAACAGCTACTTTTGAAGCATGTGGTTGCCATTTCTCTTAAACAACTTTGATATTGATCATTGATAGATAATTCTATTTTATAGAGTTATTTGCTCTTCATTTCAATATATTTATAGAGATATAACTTTCATGATTACCACTTTACCCGGTTCAACTTAGAAGGTGGTAAAAATTTATGTCGAAGTTGGAGTATTGTAGTAGAGTATGAATGAGCATTATATAGATTTGAGCACCACCACCGCCATGGGACAAATGCCATGGCCCCCTGATTGAAAGGTACACCTCAAGGCGTATAGAAGCTTTAAAGTCGTGGCTACCAAGCACCTAGCACTGCAACACCCAAAGGAAAACTTTGAAAAAAACATTAAAAGTGCTTTGCCTTGTGCCTGTGGTGCCCATTGAAGAAAGAACACTTTGTGTATTGTTTGACTTCTATTGGCCTTAGACTCGAGCTTTATTTAATTGCCCTTTGAGGTGCATGGAAAAGCATGAATTAAGTTGTAACATCCCTATTTTTTTATATGACCTACATGTGATGTTGGCGATGTGATTTGAGGAGTTATTTAGGTTTGGACGAATATAATTATGTCTATGAGGTAAATGACTATGAATGTGGGTGTAAATTAAGAACCTAAATGAACTTATGCAGATGTTTGGCACTTTGACATCTAAGTATGCTATTAAGGTAAATATCAATGAAAATGATGAATTAATTCTATAAATTGAGGATTTGATTTAATTTGATGCATGTTTGAGGATATATGTATGAGGATTTTGAATTATATAAGTTATTTGAGGTATAAGATAAACAGGGAATGGATTTTTTGGTGTTATTTTTAGAAGTTAAAAAGCACTTAAAACTACCTATAGGGTAAAATGTATAGATACATCCCCTCATGTATCGATATATTCTTTGTAGCAAGAACAATATGAGGTGTTTTGGAGGAATTCTATTGAAACGTTTAAGGATGTATTGATAGATTTGGATATTTGATGAACATGTATCAATACATTGTATTAATGTATCGATATATTTGGAGCAGAAGGCACCTAGGACCATTCTGCTCGAAATATATCGATACATTATCTTAATGTATTGATGCATTTATTTGAAATTAGGGCAGATGTATCGATACATTGCCAAATGTATCGATACATAAAAGAGAAAAGGCAAAAACAAAAAAGGGTTTTGGGACCATTTCTACCCCAGTTTCTCTCAGCTTTTTCCCTCTTTCTCTCATTTCCCTCTCTGAACCCTAAGCCCCCAAATAGCATTTGGAACCCTTGGAACTAGATTCAAGCTTCGGAAACCATTCTAGAGGTAATATTTAATATTTTTATTGATTATTTCTTAATTTAATCGATTAAATGCTGAAAAATCCAATTTTCTCCAAATTTGATAATTTTCATTTTTGGCATGGATTGAGGAATTTGGGAGCTAAAATTCATGCAATCCAACTTCTAAGTCATGAGTTAGTTCATTAATAAAGGATTTGAGCTTAAATAGTTGAATGGTTAAGAATTAGTTAATTGTGGAAAAATTGGCATTTCTTTGAAAACCAAGATTTAACTAATAAATGGATGTTTTGATGTGTCTAAAGGCAAATTTGAGCTATTTACTCAAGGGTGAGCTGAAAGATTGTAGGAGGCTAAGAATTGAAGCTTGGCTATGCACATGCCTTAGATTATCAAGGTGAGTGGGATTTAAGTTAAATGCATGTAATGCATAATGCATGATAAGTGCACTACCATGGTACTAGGATAAAAGATGCATACCTAGACAGATGAACTGAGGCTAGAAAACCATATGTGTGTGTATATATGTGTATAAGGTATGCCTAGATGAGAATATCTAGGCTAGAGCAATTATTTGTATGTATATGTATATTTGCCTAGAGGTATGTGCCTAAGCTAGAGAATAAGAATGATTGTATGCCTAAATGAGAATGCCTAGGCTAACTAGTTATTTGAAAGGGAAAATCTGTGTTTGTGTGATTTGTGGTGAACCACATGGTGGCATTGTGTTGGAACCAATGGTATGTAGGATCTAGAACACGAGGCCTACCCATGCTATGATATGAATTATGAATTAAGGACTATACCAAATTATGATAAATGGATTGCTCAGTTAGATATATGGGCACGATATGTATTTAGGTTAATAGCATAACGATTGAGTGATATTAAATACATGAGCCGAAAGGCCATGATTGCTCATGGACATGTTTTATATATGAATGCCCATGTATTTATGGTTGATTTGAGGATAAGTATAAGGTTGTTAAGCAATGATTGCTTTGATTGAATATGATGAATTCCCATGTGTAGTTAATGGCATAAGGGCCTATAGCTTTATTATGTTTTGTTTGATGATGCCTTAGAGACTTAAAGGCAGTTAGAGTTATATCGGGCTTAGAGATGATTGGATCTCATTGAATCTGAATGTGGTCATATGGAATGTGATAGGCACGATGGCTTGATTTATGGTTTTGTGTTTTGTCTAAGGGTTGAACTTTGGACATTGATTTGATTTGAGGTTGAATGGAGTCCTACACCCTGTGACTTTGTGTGTTTGTAGAAATGGTGGTAGGCAAGGATTGTGGTACTGATCCCGCCTATAGTGCTTTGATGCCATTTGTTGAGATTACTCCGGGTGATACAAACGTCGAAAGATTACTTCGATCAATGATATGATTATCTACCAGTTGCTTTGGCATTGTGTGTGATCTGTTCTTCGACCGTTACTTCGGCACGCATGTGATCTATTTCTCTACCTAGAGGCTTTGCCCTGCACATGACTTGTTTCTCTACCAATTGCTTACCATGTGTGATTTGACTATGATAACATGCATAGGGGATGGCATGATCTAATTTGAAATATGAATATGTGGTGACCACTATGAATGATATTTGATGAAAAGCTTGAGATAAGCAGTTTATATTTAAATAAGATTTGAGCTTGTGCTCGGTAACTAAGGTGTGCCTATGAAACTTGGTTTATTAATAGCGACTTTAAAGATAAGTCTTGAATTGATATGATTTGATGTGAGGACATGGAATTTAGGAATTTGTGGAAATGATACGCTATTAAGATGTGATTCGATAGGACTTGATGTGATGAGTTGTGCATATAGGATATTAGGATGATCCTTGTACCTTTGAATTAGAGATGTTTGAATGTGAAAGTCTTATAGCTAGATAAGCTTAAATATAATTTACATATGAAATATTATGTTATGACAATATCCTTTCATTGAGTATTAAATGACTCACCACTTTGTTGTACCATGTGTAGAGAAAAGAAGCTACGGGGGTTACGTGGCAAGTGTCGTCGATTGGATGGACATGTAATTGGCATCTGGTAGGTTTTTATCCCAACGTGTCACTCTGCTGAGTCTATATAGGCCTTCCACCTTCCTAATTTTGTTAGTTGTAAATATGTCAAGCACGATGTGCCATTTGAATTGTATAAGGGTTATTTTGTATGAACTCGATTGACTAGCTAGTGCATGGCCTTACGAACATTTGTATGGACTATGAACCAAGGATAATATAATATATTTGAATTTGTTATGAATATTTGATTTTAAATCCCTTGGCATTTGTGTTATATGATTTTGGACTCTAAAGCTTGCTCGGGTTTAGAGGGCTTCCCTATTGGGCTCCTACATCGATCATGGACCCTCGAATTTGGGTCGTGACAAAGTTAGTATCAGAATGCCTAGATTAGAGTGTCTTAGGTCATTATATGGGTGTCAACGAAGTGTTAGGCTTAGTGTAAAGTCTTGTTCTTGGTTTGTGACTGCAGCACGAATTATGAGTAAGAGGCTGCATGAACTCTTAAGGTTTTAGTAAGCCAGCTTAACCTTTGAGTTTGATTGGTGTCACTTTGGTCCAGGTGAGGATGCCACATCGAGGGATGAGTTACCATTTAAAGGCTTTTAGGGGAAAATGCTTTTAAGGTGATGTTAATGGAAATATGTTCACACAACTTTTGCTCATGATGGGTGAGATGAGATTATTCAGTCCATTAGAACAAGATGGTTAGGTAAGTTTTGGTTTAGGCCTTCGGTAGTGAATTGGATGTTTGAAGTTATGTTATGAAAATTTTTTTGTGTTGATGTTGCACCGAAATGATTCTGGTTTGTTGGAATATTAAAGTTGACACAAGGACATGTGACTGATATGAGAAAGGCACTAAATTATTGGAAGATTGTTCAAAACGGTGTACCAACCTAAATTCTAAAAGTAGTTATCAAGGTGGCATTAGGGGCTTACCTTAGTAAAATTGCTTCTGAAGTTGGAACTACGAAGATGAGCATTGCAATAGATAAGTGAATTATTAGGCATGATAAACTGTTATAGACAATGCATAAACTCATTGAGAGAGAAAGGTTACGATGTGGCCTGTGAGAGGACTTGCCACCAAATGCCATTTTCAAATTACCAGGGGCAATGAATAGATGGAGATTGATAGGTGATTATGATATTTGGTGCGAAGAGA